CAGTCCTTTGACTCTGGAATATTACAAGGGGGTCAGTTTAACTAGTTTTTTAACACTTACCTTGACACAGTCGTCCTGAGTTCCTATTATCAGTGATTTACACCGGAGGCCTAATGAGCTAGCTCAAGGCCTGTAAATTCTGGTCAGGTAAGAATTTACATGCCTCTACTAAATCACTAAAACTATGCAAGTGAAGCTAAGAAAAAATCACAGCAAGGTTTTAGACAGGGATTGTCAGGGATTTAACCCTTTCATTTCCCCCATTTCTCTAAAATTTGTAAATTCCTTTACAAATATTCTGAGTTGTCATACTTCATTACCTTAGGCAAAGTCCAAACTCTCATAGCCAGTTTCCTTAGCTTATACCACAAAAGGCAATTGTCTCATCAAGTTTGGTGAACAAACAACATACCACTTATCACACTACTTCACTGCTATAAAACCACCCCGCGTTGCTCCTATCTTTACAAGATGCAGCCGCCCCTCCTGCCACCCGTCCCTCCAAGATTCCCAGCCCTTCATTTTGCTCCGATAATGTATTGCTAATGCTGGTGTACATTTATTTTGTTTTACACAATACTAAGCCAGAGCTGGGGCGTTTCCTGCTCAAGGTCTTGGAAGGCAGCTGCAGGCTGCAGCTACGTGGTAGCTCTAAGCCTTCTGCCAGGGGCAGCTAAAAATATCAGTGGCATGTGTCAAATACAGATTTATGGCTTGTAGTGATACTAGCTGACTCCAGTATATTCATATTAGACATCAGACATTTTAGTCTGCATTAACACCAATGTAACACTTAATACCTGCTGTTACCACTGGTAGTGAATAGGCAAGAAAGTGACAAGAAAGGCACAAGACTATAGAAGTGAAAAATCCCTTCAACGCTATCTCCATCCCTGTACACAGGAATCATTGTTAGACATCGTTTTAAAAATATATATAGTATTTATTTAAAAGTTGCAGTCACTTCAGCCCAGAGCAGCTCTTCAAACACGCTTCTGCTATAGGCCCTGGACAGGTGTTTATGCATTTGCAGATACAGCTGCTTGTGCAGTAAGACAGAACCATTAGTTGTGCCAGTTCAGAGGCAAGAAGGGCACAGCCCTCCCCTTTGGAGAGCGGCAGTTCCATCAGGCCCATGCTCAAGAGCTGTCTAATGGCTCTTCTCTTCACCGGGGGTGGTTTTACGTAGGCCAGTAGGATATGATGCAAAGCCCTCTTCAAGACAACTGTATCTCAAATTTTTTTTTTTCTTTTTAAACCAGTAACTGAACTCTGTTCGCAGTGTCCTTGAAAGGGGAACGAGGCCTGTAATAGCTGACTTTGGTTGGCTCCTCAACCTTACAATATCCTTCAGCTCCATTCAGGGACCATGTCTCATTGTTACCGTGCTGGGTAGTAGTCCGTGACCTATCCCGCTCGGCAGCTTCAGTGCCACGAAACACAACCTCCTCAGCTTCCATTCATTCAGGCTCGTTTCTGTGCTCGCTCGTTCTGTTCAAAATTAAAGTTGAGAAGGTGACTGAAGATGCCGCTGTCTGAGTCACACAGAAGGGACTTTGGGGAGCAATGAGACAATTTAATAATCCTTTCTGCCCCAGTTCTCAAACGTTGCTAGTCTGCAACTCAAAATCATCATTTTTCAAGGACAGATGTTTATCAGGAGTCCTCCAATTAGAGAGCAGAACACTTGCCCAAATCATACAGCACAAATATCACAAAGTCTATTATGGATCCCTAGAGTTTACCCATCTGGCAAGTTAAAAGCTACCCCGCTTTTGTCTGAAAGCTCTCAACCTTCCCACTGGTGCGTAAAGGAGGGCCTGCAGAAAATGCGTTCCTGGCTTGGAATACCCAACTTCTAGTCAGCATAGCTGTAAATTAGTCTTAAAACTCTGTAATGACAAAAGGTTTAATCTCTGCATTTTGTTCACCTTCCTCTGGGTCATTACCAAAATCCCAGCTCCAGAGGTACAGGCAAAGGCAGAGCAGAAAAGGAAACACCACGAATCATAGAACAGAATCACAGAATCACCACAGAGGCTGGTGAGGGGTCTGGAGCACAAGTCTTATGAGGAGCGGCTGAGGGAACTGGGGTTGTTTAGCCTGGAGAAAAGGAGGCTCAGGGGAGACCTCATCGTGCTCTACAACTACCTGAAAGGAGGTTGTAGCGAGGTGGGTGTCGGTCTCTTCTCCCAGGTACCAAGCGATAGGACGAGAGGAAATGGCCTCAAGTTGCGCCAGGGGAGGTTTAGATTGGATGTGAGGAAAAATGTCTTTACTGAAAGAGTGGTTAAACATTGGACCAGGCTGCCCAGGGAGGTGGTTGAGTCACCATCCCTGGAGGTATTTAAAAGACGCGTAGATGTGGTGCTTAGGGACATGGTTTAGTGGGCATGGTGGTGTTGGGTTGACGGTTGGACTCGATGATCTTAGAGGTGTCTTCCAACCTTAATGATTCTATGATTCTATTTAGGTTGGAAAAGACCCTTAAGATCGAGTCCAACCGTAAACCTAACACTGCCAGGTCCACCACTAACCTGTGTCCCTAACCGCCACCTCTACACGTCTTTTACAGACCGCCCAGGATGCTGCCTACCTTTCTTCTAACAGAAAACCTCTTTCTCCCCTCCCCACCCTTTCTGAGTATTTCATAATGATGCACCCAAAAATGCTGCTTCACACTGAAATGGAAATGTCTCAGTTAAAGAAAAGGATTCTGGACACTAATACTCGTGCTAGTCATGAGTTGCAATCAACTGTGCAAGTTGCAGTTTGATTTTTTTTTAATTTTCTTCCCCGTTTCAATTACCTTGACTGTCTTCTCAAGCTTACTCAGAGCTTCCTCATATTGCTGCACCAACGGCTTTAATGAGTTGCCCTTCACTGGGTGCTTCTTTATGTCTTGGATGCCGGCATCCTTCAACATGCGCAGAAACCTACGTTCCTGCGTAATAAAACAGACACAGGAGATGAGACACCCCACTGCCTATCAGCTAGAAAATTAGCACGTTTTGGAATGTGCTGCCTAGTCAGGAAATAATTGAAGTTTCCAAGTACAAAGCTCAGCTGACTGGAAAAGGTGGGAAGTAGTATGAACCTCGTCTTCCTTATTTATGCCCCTGCACGCATCCTTATCAAATGAATCCCACACCAACGACATACCTGAATTCTAAGGACCAAGCTGAAAGCGACGCCCACTTTTCCTGCACGAGCCGTTCTTCCAACTCTGAAATCAGAAAAAGTAGCATCAGGTCAGTTTAGACATGCAGTCACTGCCATTATCAGCTCCAAGAGTCTGATTCTGAAATTCTCCAGATTTAAGAAAGTCTGATTCTGAGTTTTTTGAGGTTAGCACAGCAGGACTAGCCATATGTTACAAAGGATAAATACTTCCAGGGCTCGTTCTCAGCTGCTGAGCCACTGCAGTTTTCAGAACATCTAGAAACCCAATACTCGATGCTGTCCAGGACAGTATTTCTAGCTCCTGTAAAATACACTTTCTATAATAGGCTGCTAGTTCTCCATTTCAATCCTGTGTTACTCTGGTGATACTACGGGCTTAATTTTGATTAGAAAGCTATTTGCATATTAAAGTAAAAAAAAAAAATCCAAAGCTACAAACCCTTTTAAGTGCGTGTCACCTTTGCTAAATATTCCAAAGTAAACCAAGCTCAACCATCTTCCTTTTGCTCCTGGTTGTCTTACCGGTGAATGTATGTCCTGATGAACTGAGGCGCATCATAGTTTATTACATAATTCACTCCTTTGACGTCAATCCCTCGTGCAGTGGCGTCTGTGCTGATTAACCTGGTTTTAAATGTAGATACAGTCATTTTTAGGTAACACCTCTTGCACTACGCACCCAAGTGAAACACAAATGGACACAGCACAACTCTTGCTAATCTCTGTTCAAACTGGGCAGCCAGCCTCTGACCTCCGAGCACAACAGCAGCATTGTAAGTCGCTCCTTATTGTCACTGGCATTATTAGCTGCCCGCAGACCTCCAAGCATCACTACAGATTTGTCACCTACTGTTGTGCATGAAAACTTACTGGGTGATTCCAGGTTCTCCAGGCATGCGAGACTAAGCCAGACGGCTCCCACCACATTGGAGGTTACAAACCTGTAAGCTATCTGAACATTCCATAAAGGCACTGAACGCAGACAGCGAGGTGCAAAATTCCGGTAGTCAAGGATGAATTTAAACACAGGGTTTGGATAAAAAGAAAATCCAAAAAATAAATGTTTACCTTCCTCTCAGAGACATTCCACAGATGCAATCCCGTATAGCTACCGAAATCACAAAGCAGATGAAAGACATGGATCTGTACGCCAGTCTGATCAAGGCTTTCTTTGGTAGGAAGCACTAATACTATATATAGTTCTAGCACCAACATCCATTTTCTTCCAAAAAGTGCCAGACCCCAAGCAGAGACATTAAACTTAAGATTTTCAGAACCGTACATGTTTCGGGCAACTATATGAACAAGCAGTCACATTTACCGCTTGTTATGAACTAACACACAGAAATTCAGATTACAGCCAGATTAGAACAGGCCAAGCTACATGCAGGGGCAACAATTCAAAAGTTGCAAGCCCAAGACTCACACCCATTCTCTAAGCTGGTTCCTGCACGCTGTTTTACAGAGGACCCCATTTAACTGTGTTCTTGGTTCTACCTAGCTTTTCACCTAGCTGGAAATAGCCTATGTTGGAAGACATGCAGGAAGCTCATTTGAGATGCTCACAGTTGTATTTTTCCTTGTTCAAATTCCTTCATGGTTCTCTGTCTCTCACTTGGAGGTAACCGAGAAGAAAATTCAGCCGCAGTGACTCCACCAAAGGCTTGAACCAGCAGGAACAATCTGTAGGTAAACAGGATAGAAACAGCCACTTCATCATCTCTCTAACATTACTTGACAGATACCTACTATAGTGATCTCATTAATATAGTCACCTGTGAGAAGCTTCCCTGGAGTTGGTAAAGCACAACACGCGGGTAAATTTCATTGTCAGCATGAAATGCAAGAGGAGCAAAGGCTTGGAATTCAGGTCACAAGGCACATAACATTGCTGCAGTTGACAAGGAAGAAGTTCAGAGAGAAAAATTACTTCTTGCCAAGGCTATCTTCTCTGAAACCCGCTACCTGCCCGTGACCGACCCAGGCTTGGATGTTTTGCAACTGACTAATAGCAGCAAAACCAGACCCCACAACGCTACTCCCTTTCGAACAAGTCAGAGTCACAGGCTGGGAGGATGCAACACAAGGCGGAGACAGGAGACCCGTGCTGTTCTAATGTTCTCACTTCTCCTCGGCAAGTAACAACACGCACTGCCTTCTTGTCTACAGGTGACCTGTATCTACATGCCTTGAAACGCACGTACCTAAGGGCTAATACATTATTATTACTTTGTATCTCCACTCCCCATTGCTTGTAAGCTTAATTCTGCATGAAGAGAGTTGAATTTAAAAAAAAAAAAAAATCCAGTCTTAACCAAATGAACACTAAGTAATGAGAAAACAAATGCGCAAAGGTAAAGCTCTCTGGATCATAAATACAAAGCCACTCTCTCCCAGCACCTCTGTAATGCGAGGAATCCTAGGGAAGACATATTTGTTTATAGGGTAAAAACATAACTAGATACTCCAGAGTTAAACAAATCTTCAAGTATAATTTATTCAAGAGAATTAATGTCATACCGATAGCCCCTCGGGGAGTATGTATTTCTTATTAGTATCTTGTTCAGCCTCTGTTCCATCTCCGAGTGTTTTTTTCTCTGAATAGACAGATGTGAAGAGGCGAGGCTGGAACAAGTCCAGCTGCTGCAGTTTCTCTGGGTCCTGGGTCAGCGTGGCTGAAAACAGCAGTTTCTGTAAGGGTATCTGAGGATAGCAGGAGCTGAAATAAATAGCACACGGAAACTGAGCTTTGAAGATGGGGCAAAGGAGTTCCTCCACAAGTGCCTTCAGATGATGTTATGAGGGAAGCAATTAACTCTTTTTGATGCTCTTTTCCTGCTCTGGGCCTTTCCTGTAGGTTCTTTTCCACCCTTGTTTTATGGTGGAGTTCACAGATGGAACTGATCAGCGCTCTCAACCAACTGCACAACCCGCATCCATTACCCCTGCACACATCCTTGCATCCTAGTTACCCGTGTCCTCGTTCTAGTTGCTTCCTTCCTTGGTGGCTGGTCTCAGTTTCTGACACATCTCTACCATGCTGTATGAAAACAGCAGCTGCAGACAGATAATTCCAAGAGTTTTCCTTCAAATCCATTACTCAGCTTGCCAGAGGGCATTACTATAGTTACGGTGCAAATGAATCACAGACTTGCAATATTTGTGCATTCTTTTGATGCTCCTTTAGTCTAGTTAAGGAAAGCTTGGAGAATACAATACTTAGGCTTCAGTCTAGAAGACATCCTCTAGTATCAGCTGTTCGCTGCCTGCTTTTTCAAGCTGTGAAAAAGCAGCTGCCTTACTTTGGCAGACATTTCTCAGAGTAAGCAAGCTTTGGGAGTGCCTGTGAGGGAGTACTGTGAAGCAGGGCAGCGGTATCTAGGTGCTGGTGTCCGTGCTACCAGTTCAAAGAAATGCATTTGGCAACTTACCTGGCTGCTGTTACAGGCCCTGGTTTGGTCCTCTGAAAAAGCATGTTGGAGCCAGAGTCGTTTTCTACTTGGAATGCAGCTTTGACAATTTGGTTCAGACAGTTCTGGTGCATGTCATCGATCATACGGTCAGCTTCATCTACGATCTGAATTCACAAGGGTGATAAACACTACTTGTTAAATACTGTCTAGCATTGGGCAGCTTTTATTTTCCTTTTGTAATATCATCATTATTAAATGAAGGCAGAAGTTTCTACCCCAAAACTGAATTTTGCTTTTATTTCAGTGACTCAGTAGCCAGCCTGACATCAAACTACACACACGTTCATCTGCACATAAATCCAATCCATGTCTCCGAATAAGAGATAAAAATCTCCATATCCTAAATAAGATTGCAACTGTGTCTCTGCACAGACTCCCATGTGGTGGAAGCTACTACAGTCTGACAATTTACCCTGACCTTGGCCAATAAGGCTTTACTCCAAGTTTGCGTTTGCAAGAGGCTACGAGAGAAGGGGAAGTGGGTGGATGCTTGGGTGTCACGAGTTGGAATAAAACGCCTCATCTTGAGACCGCTGCCTGAGCAATCTGGAGTGTAGACCAGGCCCATACAATAGTTCCAACAGAGATGTATTTATGTACCGTGCGAGAACAAAGCAGGAATTACAGCTGTAATGGACCTTGCACTAAGATGGGAGACCTGTGGAGTTGACTCACCAGGAAGCGAAGCTGCGTCAGGCTGAACCCCGGGGTCTGGCTAATGTGATCGGTGAGCCTCCCTGGTGTAGCCACAATAATATCAGCCAGGCTGCAGTAGCCTGTCACTCTGAAAGAACAAGCAGCCCATCAGTAAGTTTCTCCCTGCACCATAAAGCACGTAACAGAGATCCTTGGTCAGCAGACCTTAAGATTTTCCTACTGTTCACTTAACTGAGAAACGATAAAATTCAAATATGCACTTTACTTTGGAAAGCAGGCAAAGGCAGTGCTGGACACTAAACCCTCATTTTAAACAAAAAATGCCATTCTTCATTACTCTTAAAAAAAGTTTAGCTGCAGCAAAATGCCGTAACAATCATTTGTACCTGTGGGTACAAGGTAAACATTTGCATTCTACTCAGCTGGTGAAGAACCCCAAAAATCTGGTAAAACATAACAATCACAAAAAAGGGGTAGCAGCAGGCACTTTGACAAAGACAAAACAACCAGTGTCTAGCATATAAACCCACCATCCAAAATCATTACTGCATGATGGTGTGCTGCAATAGCCTATATTTTAACCTCTGCTCACTGAGATTAAATAGTTTACAATCTCTACAAACCTTATCAAAAGACCTTTCAACCTACTTTTTCTGGACAAGCATCTCCTGCTCCTTTGCAAAAGATTTCTGGCCAGTAATCAAAACGACCTTCAGACCTGTCCCGTCAGTGTAAATGTTGAACACTTTACTCACCTACAAAGAGATGGGCTTTGTTAGCCACAATGAAATCATTTAAAGAAATACTTTCCATTATGCTAACAACATCAAACCCACCGCCAGGGTCTTCAACCTGCTTCACAGAACAGCCAAGCAAAGTACTGACTGCACCAGCTTTTCCCCTGGCCCAGTTCTGCTCAGAGGGAAGGTGAAGAGCCACATACCTGTTGTGCCAGTTCTTTGGTGGGCAGAACAACCAGAGCTCGTACTTGGCAAACTACTCGATCTAGCAGAACCTGCCAAAACAAAGGCCAAATGAGTCCCTGAAAGCAGTGGGGAGAGAAGGGGCTTCCTGTATCTAACCCAGTGAAAAGAGATGGGCTCGACATATCCTCATAGAGTTTTATGTTTCCATTTTACTCCCCTCCACCCTTCCAACTCCTTATGCTGTGCCTGTTGTCTGAGAAAAAGAGGAGGATGCTGAGATGAAGGGGACTCATAGAGCTCTCTGAGACAGCTTTGAGCTAAAAATCTGCTGCTTTGCAGCCACGAATTCCTTGGCTTTTTGACCTACTTCTAAGTTCAGGTTTGCTTGAACAAAAAGCAGCCCCAGCATTTTCTCTACAGGTA